CTGGCCGCTCTGCCTTGCGAGTAGCCCGAGACGTGATAGCTGAAAGCAGTGCCCTTGGGAAGAGGCCGAAGCTCCAGCGTGCCATCGCCGAGAGCTTGCGGACCTCTGTCTTTCCTGATTTGTTTCCTACCACGCTATCACGTCGCTTAGGATCTTGGTACCCAGCTCTTTCAGATAAGATCTCGACTATCGATTGGGGTCTAATTCGGAACGTCCTTCGCAAGTCAACGATCAGTTTTAGCTCAGCTGTAATGAAAACTTTAACGGGCTCGTGGATAACATCCATGCGGCTCCATGACTCTGTATCCTCTGGGTGCGTCTTTGGATGTGGGGGCTCCGACACATACTTACACTACTGGGCCCACTGTCCTCGATGCCTCGAATGTCTGCATATCTTATCCCAGCATTCTCTTCCTGTGTGTCCTCTTGAGCGTTACGGTGTGTGTTCCTCGTCTCCCTCCCAATCCACTCTCGAGCCCTGTGCTGCCGCTCTGCTCCTATATAACTCTGCTGTTGCCTCGGCACCCTCAGGCCAAACTTTATCCGCCGAGGCCTGCCTCGAATTGCTTCCGCAGGTCCGTTCGGCCCTCGCGCGAATGCGATTAGCCAGCAGCTGAGCTTGAACTTCGAGGACCCGCGCTTCCCTCGGCGACGCCCCAGGAGGAGAAGGAGGAGGAGGAGTAGGAAGAGGAGGGGGACGGGGAGGAGAGGAGGAGGAGGAGGAATGAGGAGGAGGAGGAGGAGGAGGAGGAACGCGAGCAGGAAAAGATGAACGCTGCTTTCTCGTCTTCCACAGCGGGTTTCCGAACCTCACCTTCCTGTACCATTGGCTCTTTAGCCCCTGTATTGCTTTCTTTTTAGCGAGCGGCGAAATTGTCGGTTTCCGAACTCCATCTTCGTGTACTATTAGAATCAACGGGCTTCCGAACTTCATCTTCGTGTACTATTAGCTCTGTAGCCCCTGCATCGATTTCCACTTAGCGAATGGCGAATTTGGGTTTCCGAACCCCTTCTTCGTGTATAACGAGAATCCTAGTATTCGTAGCCGATCTCTGCGTGGCTCCTGGGAACGGTTCCCATCGAATTTCGATGTAATACTGTTTGGTTTTATTTTAACATGTAGAACCCGAACCAGAACCCTTACCCCTACCCTTACCCTTACACTTACCCACCCATTATTAGTAGCCACGAAGTTGAAGTGTAACCCTAGTAGTAGTAGCAGTAGTAGTAGTAGTAATAGTAGTAGTAGTAGTAGTAGTAGTAGTAGTAGTAGTAGTAGTAGTAGTCGTAGTAGTAGTAGTAGTAGTCGTAGTAGTAGTAGTAGTAGTAGTAGTAGTAGTAGTAGTCGTAGTTAGTAGTAGTAGTAGTAGTAGTAGTAGTAGGAGGAGGAGGAGGAGGAGGAGTAGGAGTAGGAGTCAAGCTAGCCAGCTCGAGCGAGTCAAGCATGGCATGCCCAGTCCCACCCGCCCTCCCACAACATAAGAAGCAAAGCTGGCACAACTGGGGGCCGAAGTCACACCGGCCAGCCGGTTTGGTACAGCTGATGCGGCCGCGATGGCGGTTGCCGACGGGAACTGGCGAGCGCGTGTTGAATGCCGCGCACGCATTGCCAGACGAGTCGAGAATGGCCCGGTACACCGCAGGAAGCCAGAGGTGGCCGGAGGAAGCCCGACGGTCTGACAGGACACCCCAAAGCATTTTTGTGAAAAAGCATTGGGTTTTTGATGTTTTTATGTTGAAATGCTTGCAAAAACACGGTGTTCGGTAGGATTCTGACATGAACGCGCGAGTGTGCTCTTTGTGGTATTTTTTGCACAGGATTCGCGGCCTGGGTGCATGACAGAGCATCGCGAGTGCACCGCGCGATGACGTGAAATCGCTGGATTTGACAGAATTCTTAAGATTCCTATGGTTTTCCTATGATTTCAGCAAGAGAGCCCGGGCGGGAAATTTGTACAATTTTTGTGAAAAAGCATTGGGTTTTTGATGTTTTTATGTTGAAATGCTTGCAAACACACGGTGTTCGGTAGGATTCTGACATGAACGCGCGCGTGTGCTCTTTGTGGTATTTTTTGCAATGGATTATCGCCGTGGACGACAGGACGTCCATGTCGAGAGGAAAAAATAAGAAAAATGTTGATTTTGTATTGTTTTTTACAGGTTAGGATGGGACCACCCGGATGCGCCCGCTATCTGCCGGCCTGAGGGGGGAGTAGGAGTATATTCTAGTAAGGAATAAGGATAGGAGTAGGAGTAGGAGTCAAGCTAGCCAGCTCGAGCGAGTCAAGCATGGCATGCCCAGTCCCACCCGCCCTCCCACAACATAAGAAGCAAAGCTGGCACAATTGGGGGCCGAAGTCACACCGGCCAGCCGGTTTGGTACAGCTGATGCGGCCGCGATGGCGGTTGCCGACGGGAACTGGCGAGCGCGTGTTGAATGCCGCGCACGCATTGCCAGACGAGTCGAGAATGGCCCGGTACACCGCAGGAAGCCAGAGGT